ACGCATTCGCATCTAAAAATCCCTAACACAAATCGTTTTGCAAAAATTAATTTGTTTACATTTTTAAATGTGAAAATAACAACCCGAAATGTAAATGGTTTGGCCACGATCACACACAACGTTTTAACGTGAAATCCTCCAATAATGCAATAAAAAATGCAATTATTCGGAAGGATCCCAGCCCCTGAAAATCCGTTTAGCAGAAAAGAATTTGTTTAAATTTGGAAAAAGCAGCCCGAAATCTAAATGGTTTTGCCAGGATCACTCGGACGGTTTAACGTGGCATCCTTCAATAATGCAATTATTGAAAATCCATAACACTTACTAAAACTTACCGAAAGTTGCTGTATCGTACGACCTGAAAACAAAGACAAAATTCTGTAGTATTACATAAACTTAGTTTAAAACCCAGTTATTTGATAAGAAATAAAAAAAATGAGTGAGCACTGAGGAGTTAAACTTTAATTGTTTCTCGAAAAACTAAATTCAGTTCAAGTTAAGGGTTTATAGAATAATAAGCCTTCTTACCTGCTTTCTAAAAACATTGTCTATCCATTAATCATCAACGAGCACATACTACACTTGAACACAAAGTGAATATCCAGACGAAGTTGAAAATAAATGTGGATTACACTCAGCAGCAACAGGTAAGTTGACCGACCGTATTTGCCTCCATGGCATTAAATTTTTTTGAATTTATCATGTTTATGAACAAATACCCGACGACCGATTTCGTCCACTGCCCATAATAAACTGAACTTAAATGTTCAGCTTTCCGAAAAAACTCAGGCGATTTTAAGGTGTTTATCAGATAAAAACCCACCGAGCTGCAGACTTGCATAATGATATAATCGTTTGCTTGCTGGCCCTTCGGATGACTAATAGCTTTGCTATGCTGTTCGATTTGCTTTCTCAGCCAAAAATAAACAAACATTGCGACTTTTGCTCAATTTTCATGAAACTTGAAAATCTTTTTTGCCTAGAGCCGTTGTGAGAGGCTGCACAATTGTTAGCAGATTCTCCAAAATCAAAGTAAAAAAAAAACAGTCACACACCATGCCATGATTTGCGAATGCTTCACTTTGACTGCACTTTAGGAGCGACGGAACTTGATTTTTACTCGAACTTTTAGATCAGACTTTTTCTCCATTCTTATGAAACTTTGAGTTCGTACAGCTTGATATCTTGGGCAAAACAGCCGAAAAGTCTAATAATTTATATCTTTGGACTACAGAAAATTCATTGAAGGTGTGTTCGCAGCAGCACACTCCTATTTTGCACAATAAACCGGTCTACTGTGGAAAAGCTGACAATTTAAATTTGAAAAACTAGTCAAAAAAATTAAAAATTGTAAATCCGAGAATTTCCTACTAAGAGTTCAAGAAGCTTTTAATTTAGAGCGTAACTCACATCAGAAAAAGACTAATAATTTGATATCTTTGCGCTAAAGAAGAGACTCACTTCTATATGTCAGTCCTTGGACCAAGGCATCAAAGCTGGATTTTATGAATGCAATGTATGCTGTCTTCTGAAGCAAAAAGACTAATTTTGCAAAAACAAAACTACAATAAACCAACAATGCTTCTATTTTGTCAACATAGTAAAAAATTACAATAAGTACAACATTAAGAGCACCAACAACAAGTCCATTCTAAAGTTTATAGAAATTTACAGTAATTGGATATTTATTTTTTTACAGTATTTTTATAGATAAAATAAATCTAAACACACTATTGTGTTAGAATTATCAATACGCGATGTAATTGTTTATCATAGAGTGTAAAGAGTAAAGATGATCACTGCTAATTGGTCTAACCTGACCCAATTATATATACATATAATTTGTAAAAGTATGTTATTATCATAGGAAAATACCCAGTAATAATATTCATTTAGTTATATTTCTAGGTATTTATGATAGAATGATGTAATTATATTCACGGTACATAAACCTAATCAGTTGCCAACGCATCAACACATCTACTTTAAACTTGGTTAATGCAAACAAAGTATGTTTCTTTTCCAAATACCCTGTTTTTTAATTATTGATATACTTTATTGCGCTTGTTCAGACATTTTCAAATAGATCACTTTTAGCATTATTTTAAATCAAGTATACTTCAGGTACATTCAGAAGCCGATTGCAGATACAAAAACAGTCAGGAACCCACAGCAAGCGATTTTATATTCCAATAAAAATAGCCTGCTTGTTGCCTTTAAGTGAACGAACTAATACGTATTGCGTCCAAACTTGCAACTCAATATGGAGGGACTCAATGAGTGTTTGCGTTTAGCAGATCAATCTGTTCCTCTACATTATTCCATGAAAGTGATATTTTGACATCTTTTAACTATATAATATCATAACGCACTAACCTACTTTACTATCAATAATTCGGGAAGATTTAATGTAGAACAAAAAGGAAGCACAATTTAAGTAACTTGTTATAATTTGAAATTCACTTTAAAATTTCATTATTAAGAAAACCTTGAAAAACCAAAAAGTGTATAACTGGGGCTACTAGAAAACGTGGGGTGAATTAGCTATCATCTTTCCTAGGCCAGTTTTAGCCTATATTCGAAATATTAATAAAAATGGGACTCAATTATTTTTAGCCAATTAAAAACAAGCAAGTATTAACTACTATTATAATTTCAGAATTATTGTCATAACGTAATCAGACAATACTCATCTTAATTTAAAAATTCAATAATAGATAATTCGAATTTCGAAAACCAGTAAAACGGGTATAATTTAAAATCAGTTTCTAGTTCATTTTCTGTATTAACCCTGTATTAGATTTTTGCATCTACTTTTCGCCAAATAGTAGTTTTGCTCTGGAGCTAGCATATTATAACGGATCTATCACAGCATTGAATAAAATTTGCAGATCCAAATGATTGCATAATTGCAACTTTTGATTCCTTCAGATTTTTCCTTTTATATATAGTGGATCAATAGAAAATGCTATAATACTTCTTAAATATTCTTAATATGGGGGTATTACTTGACTATCCTGTTACTTTAATGTTAACTGCAGAGTTGTCCACTAGTAACTAAATCTATTTGCTAGTCTGCTTTTTAAAGAAATGCCATGGACATCTTTCCATTCTTGTTCGCTATAGTAAATCGTCAAACCGCATTAAAGAATTAAATTGAAGGTTACCGTTGCGAGGAGGAGAAAAGAGTCATATTTGCCTATTCACCCCAACTTAAGTTACATTGCTTTTCAATGCAATAATACATATACTGAAATATTGAGAACGCCCCAGTAAACCAAAAATGAAAGTATGAGCGTTATTTTTCACATACTTTATCATTGCCACTTAAGTACCTACTCCTGACGTTATTCCTCCGCAGGATCAAAATTGGCTTTGCCATCAAAAGTACAACCGCTTCTTTGAACTATTTGCCTAGCTGCCCACATTCCGCATTTTATACTCACAGTCAAGTCTCGTCCTTGTATGTATTGAGATAAAAATCCTCCTAAATAAAAAAATAGAATGTTTTATTCAGTTGAAAACTAACGGAACTTCGTTATTTCTTTTCCTGGAATTTTGGTATTATACTAGGGCTCTCAGATTTTGTCTCGAGAAATCAAACGATAGAAAACAGCATTGGAAAAATGTCAACTAGTTTTTCTCTTACCCGCAAAAGCATCACCAGCACCATTCGTGTCAACTAGTTGATCGGCAGGTAACACCTTAACCGGAAACTCTTTGATTTTCCCATTGTGTGCCAGAATAACAGGATGAACGCCCTGCGTTAACACTACTACTCTGGATCGTTTTTCGTTCTGTTTAGGCATGTTGCACAATTTAATAGCGATTTCTTTGATGTCTTTTGTTCCAAAGTCTTGCTCCTGTGCGAATGTTTCCGCTTCCTAGACGAAGAAGAATAAACCGTTCAAGTAGTGCAAATTTTATTGCTTCGGCAGGTGCTTCAGCTGTGAAGTGTTAATAAATATGCAAAGTAGCATTTTTTAGGCGTTATATCGCACATGAATGAAATTAAATTTACGGTTTTTAAACATGGGGTTAGGCTACCCTCTTTTATATCATAAAGCCCATGAAATGATCTTTTTCCATTACGTCTATGCACTGAACAGCAACTTGTTCTAAATGCCATTTTATCTTCATTTTTTCATTTTGTTGAACCATTGAATTAATTCACAAAGTATGTTATATAAAAATTACTTCAAAGTCAATATAGAATCGGAATCTGGATTAAAAACTAACATAAACAAATACTTTAGCGCCAACAACAACTCTACTATACAACTTTTATATAACCGTTTTTTTTCAGTCGCTATTTGTGTACGATCCAAGAGGGGGTCTCGCTTCGCTGACTCACCCTGTATATTAAGTATTAAAAACAAGAGATGTTAATTTCTTTCCTTCAAAGACAGTAGCTGGACAACTGGTAATTAATATATGTATCATATATATATATCATATAATACAATTTGTTATCGTGAACTAAAAAGTTAAGATTTTCAATAAAATAATTTTTTTTGTCATTTTTTAGATCGATTAATTTCGCATCATCATGAAACACTCGGTGCACAACAAAACTACATACAAAAATAGTAAAAAAAGTACTTACAGTTTCATTTCCGAAGAGTACATCCACATAAGGTAGAACTTGCATAAGTGGTTCTTTATAAAACTGCGAAATAAAAGGAGCGCTCAAATTCATAGCCAAAGGTCTATCATTAGCCAGAGCGACATTTGCTACCTCCATAATCGAAGGTGGACTAACTGTCAAAAAGAAACCCTAAAATTAGACCAGGTTAATATAGAAAATATACATAGTAAATGTATCATAAATACAGGATTATTAAAAATTGAACATCTTTGTTATAAGAGTTTATTGGACTTTCACCCCCAGAACGAGAATTATTTCGGCTCTTGAATATCCAATTAATTATTTGTTACATGTTATTGTTGTAAATCCATAATTAAATAGATATACTTTAATACTAAAAAAACCAGAAATACTACAAAATATTTAAACATGAGTAGTGCCGTCGGTAATACAAATCAATTAACGTAATTAACCCGCATTAAAACGTTAAATCTAATGTTAGCATTAACAATTGAAAGGGAAGGAAAGAAAAACATTGAAAATAGTGACACAAACGCAACAAATTTGGTAGTTCTGGCAAATTCTATTGTTAAATGATAGCATCACATTTTTAACAGATAAATCAGCATTCGAATAATAGTAGCATGTATTTTCAGGTTCTTTTCGTCGAACATTCGAATATTCGTTGCAGATTTCTTGCATTGCTTCCCGTTTTTCATAAACCTGTTAGACTTTATATCACGCGCAAACTAATATGTTTGATGACATATAGAGATTTCTTAGAAGTTACTCATCAAATTTTTTTTTAGGGTTTTTTAATGACACACTCTCTGGAATAGTTTTGTGACAAATAGCAAAATAACTTGATGATGACGGACCCCTGTGATATTAATTCTAAAACATTCAAATTGATCAGCAGCTCGATTTGCATTCCATATTTGCTCTAACTATTTTAGGGGGTTTCAAATAGTTCTCTATGGAATCTTTCTACTTTCCCCAAGCATTTCATTTCAGAGAAGTGACAATTTTTAATCACCCTGTAAGTTGACTTACGTGTAAATACTTACCGAAATATAATAAAATCGAGCCGTGTTTACTAGCTTCTTATTGTCGGGTAACAGGATATGATCAATAGTGAAACAATTAGCTGCACCTAAGTTTGCACATAAGGATCTGTGGTGGCCAGTAACCAAAACCGCACACGTTCCTGTTGGTTCTGCTCCAGTATATTGGTACCTAAAATTTTTCTTTAACTCTTTACCTTTTGGTCTACCGCGATTTTATGTTTTATAAGTCGAGAATTTACCAAAACTTAAAGTGAAATAAAATAATTAAACCATCAGTAAACTTGAAATTCTCACTAAGACGATAATTACCTAGCATTTACTCCTTCTGATACAGCGCGTTGGTTTAATACTTTTGAATAGTTGTCTTCGCCCACGCAGCCAAAAAACGTTGTAACGCTAGGTTTTCCAATTAGCCATTGGCAAACCCTTAGCGCATTTTGAACGCTTCCTAAAATTAATAAGTTTTTGTCAAAAAAATCAGAAATAACGACAAACTCAACTATTTACATATTTACGTTGTGCCGCATTTACTATTCTTAACATGTGTGCATATTTATGTAAATTTTTTAAAGCAATTTATCAATTATAATTTGCCATATTGGTGGGAAAACTGAACTATTTTCATAATAATGTTTACGCTGAATGTTAAATCAATTCCGATCAATTTACAATAATAAATAGTATCAATGAGTAATTGGACTTAAGAACACATACGATTCTCAAATGCATCAGTTATTTACCGAGTTATATATTTTATATGCTGCAAAACTAGGTCAAGCCAAATTTTGCAAAATACTAATTTATGTTGAATATAAAAAACCAAATATAAATGTACTTAATATTTACATGCAAATTGAAAATTTACATTTATGACAGATTATAGTTACCTCCAGCAATATATTCAGTTTTATATTTTTCCACAAGCTCCGCATACAAATTTTTATGCTTTTCAGCATCAGCGAGAATTGCATCATTTGGTTTCAACTCGTATTTGATAAGAAACTCTTGTTCCACTATCGCGGAAATATCTAGCAAAGGGTTTCCCAAACCTAGCAAGGTATTTTTCCTGTAACAAATAAAATTTGTACAATACAAAGCAAGTTCTTCTCAAAAACCTATGGTTAGTAATCCATGGGAGTGGCAGCGGGTTGTTCTTTCTGTTTCTGTACGGTCTGTAAGGGTCAGTCAAGTTCTTTTATTTTTGTTGTAATTTTAAGTTTAGTCTGTTTTCTTGTAAGTTTATCGTATGCAATTTTAGCCATTTTAGATCGTTTTATCCAGTTTTTGAAATGTCTTGTTCGGTGCTCTCGGGGATGTTTGCTTGTGATTTGCAACCGCCCTGATGATAACGTAAGTGTCGCAAGCTCTTGGCGTTAATTGATAATTACATACACACTTCATTACAAAAAACGTGTTTGATTGAATTTCATCCAGTATGTATACATCAACTTCTTTCAAAAACTACCAGAACTTTTTGTTTGGTGGATGGATTGAACTAATTTTTTGATGATGACAAATGACAAAACACCTAAAACTTTTCTAACTTCTGGCTAAAGTGCAGACAATTTAATTTATTTTTTATACTTTTCAAATGTCCGTATTCGTACTCTATATTGAAAATGCTTCCGAAATTATCTAAAATCAAAATGCTGCCCATAGTTAATGGACAAGCAACAAATTTGCCCAAACAGAAAAATCGAGTTATTCATCGTATTATTCTGGATGAAGAAGCCCATGCCTTTCATTCATAAGCATTTCCATCTTAAGCATTGATAAAATGTTTACACCTGTAATTCACTTTCATTCTAGCCACCTTTCGAATTTTCCTCCACAGTTTAATTATAGGAAATCTTATCTTGCTAAGCAACTACTGATTGTACTACTTTACGTTTATCAATAGTTATTTGCAATTCGCTAAGTTATCTAAATATTTAACCGGTTTCTAGTAGGGATTTAATCTCAGGATTTTGCAGATTGTAACCAGTAGTGGCAATCTATTTTCAGAAATTGAACTAACTTTGAAAAACCTCGTTTCATTCTTTTTAATTAGATCTAATTAACAGCTTTACTTTTAATACTTTTATTTGAAATTTTACTATAGTTGTCACGGCTAGCCACGAGATATTAATGGTTAAAATTAATATTTCAACACACAACGTTGAAATGTATATTTTCGAAATACATATACATATACTTAGGTGACGATGAAAAGTTTAAATGTATTTGCAAATGTAATTTTGTAATGTAAATCTCAAATTTATTTCGATGCCTGTTATATGGTTGTTTGCATCCAGTGTTCAAATAAGTCAATCTTGTATTGTAAGGTAAATTTTTCGACATTTTAATGTTTCTTTGCTCTTCTCTCACACCTTTAAATTTTTGGACAATGATTAGGTACATGGTATATAATATTATTGCTTTAGTTTTTTTGTAGATTCATTGTTTAGAAGAATATTTTTTATTTCCGATGATGGGGGTGATATCAATTGAATTTACGGTGGATGATATTGTATAATATAGTTTTAGAGATTGATGTCCTGCAATGTTATTCTTATTACATCGAATTATGTTAAATAGTAAACTGAAAACTAATGATTTAGAAGAGGAGAATAATTGATAATGGACAGGAGTTCACCCTGCCAATACTTGACAAACACTCTTCTTGTTCAGTTAGGGTCCAGTGGAACAAAAAAAATAAAAAATACAAAACTTAGGAGGTTTTTAACGAACTTCTTCGACAGAAAATAGTTTGGGAAAAATCGTCTATTTTATTGTCGTGGCCTTTCCTCCTTCCATGTTCCGTCTGTGGGTCCAAAAAACTCACTGAATTTATATACCTCAAGAGAATGCTGATCTTATTGCAAAAGCTAGTAAAGTCGTTTTCTTTTCGCTATTTACAAGTCATCGTCAAGTATTTTATTAATGGGATTGTATCTTTCACTTTTAGTCTCTAAAACAGAAATATTGCTCCTGATCTGCCGTCTCATCTTGCCGGGAAGTTTCAATAAAAAACAAAAACTCGATGACGTGCAAACGCTGATGTATAATATAGGTACTCAGATGGCCTCATACAGAAGCTGACTGAACGTGAGGAAGAGTAAGCCCTCGAAAATGGGTTTTAATTAATGTTTGTCCAATTTATAATCATAAAAATTAAAAATACTTAAAGATAATGTTTTCTACAACTGCTTTTCAACTATTTATTGCAGAATCCCCTTGGTTTTTTCACAACAGATTTTAGCAAAAGACAAAATGTAAAAATATACTTTTATCTAATGAAAAAATACTGATATGATATTTGCCGTCAAGTCGTATTTTTTTCATTTTTTAAAATGTGAATATCTGGAAATATGGGCAAAGACTAACTACTTTAACTAAATTACTCTTGCAAATGAACTTTCTGAAATAAACGATTCAGTTAACAGATTAAGCTGTTTTTGTTTAGATCTTATCGCCGTTGATCAAACCACATATTTATAGCAAAAAGATCGAAAACAACCGAATTTTAAGTTGAATAGTAACTGTCCATTATGCACTAGAATTTACATAGGCTTTCTCGGTTGTTAAGTGAAATTCAATGTACGATTACTAAGGCGAGCCACGTGGCTTAAGATAAAAACAACTGATGCGTGTCTTAACTCAACTAAATCTTACTTAATGATATAATAATAAAAGGCTACTGGTTTACATTTACATGTGAGTTGTGCATGTTACCATGTAGTTCAAAGTGATTGTTGCAATTTGGGCTCTTGAGAACTCTCGATTTGAATATAATGCAAACCTTCAGTACCAGATGTTTAACAAAATGTGTCTCTTAAAAATTCAGTGCTTAAGCAATTAAAATGCTTCTCAAATACCCAGAATCAATTGGTCATTCTTATCGTCTGTTGATTTTTGATACGCAATGTAATGCATAAATAATCTGTTAATAAATAACTCAAATTGCCAGATGACTTTGCAATTAAACAATGATAACATTAACACACTATGATAGTAAATCAATTATCATAGTAATTAAAAATCAAATTATAACTATTACTCACTTGAGCGACTCGTTTTCCATTTTACTAAATTATGCGACTGAGTGAACACTAACACTTCAGGATTCACACAAACTATTCTCAGCTGCAAATAGATAATCTTTAAAAACAATCTACAAATCGGAGACCAAGTAAAAAATAATATTGTTTTGCATTTGAATTTTGAGGTTATGCAATGGGTCAGACACGCGATACGGTTCGAACATTCAGCCGGGTATACATTTACACAAAATACACAGTGATGCGGAAAGCTCTGACTTAGCGAGTGACTCAATAGGCATGATGACAGTATAAAGGAATCAAAGAATAAATGGTTTAGAGGCAAATATATGTTGAAAGTATTCTAAAAAGTGACCCATTATTAATATAAGTATTGAAATCAATAAGATTTTTAAGATAATAAAAGTAAAAATACAGCAGTCGGCCATCTTGCTTAAAACACCAATACGAGCGCGTCCAAGGTCGTGACGTCATCGTCCGTTGAAGTAACCAGCGTGCCTGTGCCGTGTCCCATCAATTGTTGTGACTGTAATTTATTGCGGAAATAGCACACGTGTACCTACATTATACAAGGGTATTTCAAAATTATTAAAAAAATTATGATGCCAAAATAAGTGGCGGCTATATGACGTCAGTTAGGAGATATATTTAAACTGTTCTCTGTTGCATACTGTATTATAGCCTTGCTAATGATAAGTTTTTCTTATTATACTGGGAATTTAAGGGGGTAGTATTCAAGAATTGCTAGAAAAATAGATAGAAAATTATTCTCGCAAAAAATTATCAGTGATTCGATATTCACTTGCAAATCAGATTTTTTTTACTATCAGTATGTGGCTGGCAAGTTGTTTTTCGATTTATTTTAAGGCCCATTTATTAACAATATTTTTAGTTTTTTCAAAATGTCAGAGTTTTTCAGTTTTAGCAAAGTTGCTGTTTCTTCTAATCACTCATTTTTATAATGTTTCACGTAAAAATACTGACAATCTAAGGATATTTTCAGTGAAAACTTTTCAAATAAATTTTATTATAACAATCGTCTCATCCGTCGTTTCGTAAAAAGTATTGAAATCCTTTTCCAGGTTCAAATTTAGGACAAAAATCAATTTTTTTTTGTTAAAACGAACAGAACAAAGACACAGAATATAATCGAAAGTTTATAATAAATTATTTAGAAAACTCATCACCCCCATCCCTCTGAAAACTTTAGAGTTGGTTGAAAAACTGTAATTTTTAGTTTTGATTGATTTTTTTCTTGGTTTACTTTATGCTCAAAAACGCTTTATTTTTTACACTTTCACACTGTGTTGTACACTTTTACTTGTTTCACTTAAAAACATTGACAATCTAGAAGTATTTTACGCGAAAAAATTACAAGATAAATTTATAGCTTTGAAGGAATTTTACAAAAACCTTTTTCAGCATCGGATTCGGGACAAAAACGAAAATAAGTTTACCCGTTTTTTCAAGAAAATTATTAAAGTTTTCTGAAGAACCGATAGCAAAACTAAAAGTGTTTAATTGAAAGCGCAAAAAGTCCATTATTTTCAGACGCTTTTCTTCTTTTCCGACAACCATGGGGTCTTTTCAGTCAAAAACAACACAATTAATTTGTTAGAAAATTGGCCTCATGCATCGCTTTGCAGGAAATTTTAGAAAACCTGAAAACCAAAACGAATTTGGGACCAAAACCAAAGAATTGTTTTTTACTTTTTTTCCACAGTTATTAATATTATCATAAAAAAACGACCAGAAAGTAAATGTTTACAAAAAATGATTTGCAAAATTTGTTACCATCCCTCTGAAGAATTTTGAAATTTATGTCAAATTTTAGGTCTTTCCAGTTTTAGCAAAGTTTTTCATAGGCAATCCTTTCTAAGCAAGAAACGCATTATTTTCCAAAGTTTGACTTAAAAACACTGATCATATTCAGGTATTTTCTGTGAAAAATTATCAAATACATTCTATTGAAACCCCCTTAACCGCTTTTTGAATATTTTCTTAAAAACCCTAATATTTTTTTCTGGGTATTTTCCCCAAGATATTTTTACGAACAGAACAAGCGAAAATGTATATTCAATTATTTGGAAAATTCGTCAACTGCGTCGCCGTGAATAATTTTGTTATTTTTAATTCCTGTCTCTTGACTTTTAGGTCAATATTTCTAAACAAAACTCTTTCTAAACTGTGGAAAACTGAGGGTCTTTGAATTAAAAAATGGATTTTAAAAGAATATTGGGCGTATTTATAGTTTGGTCTTCATTTTTTTCATTTGGTGTTTTTTTCGAATACCCGTTTTACTTTTGAATTTGGGACCAAATCCAAACAAAGTTCTCTTGTTTTTTTCTTCTCAGATAATTTAGTTTTCCAAAAAAACGATCAGAGAAAGCAAAGGCATATGATCAACTATTTGGAAAACTTCACCGCTCTGAAGAATTTTAGAGTTTCTTCAAAATTTCCGGTTTTTCTCGCTTTAGACCAAAAACCAGAAAAACCACATTTTTAAGCAATAGTTTCTACAAAAAAGGTAACTCAGTGAACTTTTAGTTGTTGGAGCAGTGCTGTGCAAATGGCTTGGTACTCAGTAACTCAGCTCCGTTGCTGGAAAAACGATACTCCGACTATTAAAATTCCGATCTAGGGTTTCGTACAGATTTAATAAATAAGTTATGACTCATTAACCGATGAGTTATGACTCATTAACTCAGGGAGCCACAAGAACTCAAAAGCGCAACTCAACACAGTGTTACCCAGGCCTACTTTAATCGCGTTAAGTTAGATAGAACTGTGTAATAATAATTAAATAATTTGCAATTGAAATATAGATATACAGTTCTCATTGCAGCGAACAATACACTAATTCCTCTAACTTTTAGTAATCATAGCTTTATATAAAAAATAAAACATCTGTTATGTTTTTGCATAAGTTATTTTTAAAATGTAATTTAAGTAAAAATATTAATTGATTTTTATACTAATCGATTTTGATAAGAGCAAACATTTCAAGTATCAATTTTTGTCCTTTCCATCCAGTTAATGTGTTACGGGCCGCTAAATGTTCCGGATTTAATTAATCGGATATGAAACCAAACCGTTGGCAAGCAATTGCCTACCTTTATCAGTAATTAATAAACTTCTTATACATATTTATTTAAAACTCGCTCAACTTTAATTTCCAATGGTGGCGATACCGGATTGGAGCTCTACCCTCTGGGTGCGTACTAATTACCGAACGACGGTGGGTAAACAACATATTTCTCAAGAAAACTAAATTTCCAACAAATTTTCTCTCCGCCTAGTTAAAAGTGCAGGTTACGCTGCAATTTATTTGTGTTATGAAGTAAATTTTCAGGAAATTTTCTACGCTCCCGGCAAATTCACTCTGACAAATCGTTAACTACGTTGCTCCATCAGAAATTAATTTGCAGCTGGTTCTACATTCATTAAGCTGTTAGTATAGCAATCCCGCTGTAAATCTGAAGTTTTCACATGATGCTCCATGCATGTTCCATTTTTAATCATTGCACGTACATTAACGTATTTTAAATATTGATACGGATAACCGAATAATTGGAACCTTACAGTTCCAATAATTAAGACTTTTTCAAATTTACAGGTGGCTAAAAAGTTGGTTCTTCATGCCGAAAGGAAAGTTCTGCCAACGAAAAAAGCTCCGGGGCACCGAAAGACTGCAACATTTAGGACGACAATTTTACGATACACTTATAAGTGTATCCCATTATTATAAGTGATAATATTATTGATAATATTGTTATAAGTGAAACCCACATTTTGTAAAAATGTGCAATACATATCTCTTGCAAGGAAAAAGACCATACTTATCTTTTTTTAAACCATACCAGAAATTTTCTTGAATACTTTTCGGTGAGCCATCTATACCATAAGTACTTTCAATTATAACTTAAACCTCAATTAGCGATCAGTTTAAACTTTACACACCATGCCTTCTTTGTCATAAACCACTCACAAAGATTAAAAATTTCCGGTGAATGTAGAATGCTAATTATGAATAATTGAAAGCTCACTAAAATGCACCGAATGTTTTGAAAATTTTATATTTTATATTTTAATTTCCATGTTTTATTCTACCTATCTCAATAATAGCTATTTGCGTATTTGATTCATTCAAATTATTCATTTGAGACTAATTAAAGCTGAAGCTGTTTTAAATACCTCAGCATTCGCGTACATACTTGAGTAGTTCGGGGCATTGAAGAAGAATTTTCTTTAATTATCACTAAATAAAATCAATAGGTCCTTATGAATAGCAGACCGCACAATTTCAATAAGGTAAAATACATTAAAAATTAATGAATGAGGTTTTATGGGAAATACCGCTTTGGTATCCTGTATTCTTTTATCTCTCAGTTTATTTGCATTAATGCGATTTTCAAATTCGAACGGTTTTTTATTGATAAACCTTATTTCACATTTTTTTTAAATCATCATTTCACAAAGGATCAATTTTAACAAAAAAGCTTTTAATCTGTTAATGATATACAGGGTGAGTTAAGATTAACTTAATAGACTTTGCTTTTTTGCTTTATGCGTAATTCAACGATCAACCAAAACTAAAAGGCAAATAAACAAATAGATCATTTCATTGATGGAACCACAAATCCGTCGATCTAATCAGTTGACAAAAAAATTAAAGAATAAAAATTATATTTTGAACATTTATATTTGTAATTTTTGCATTATTATCAATACAAAAATTACATTAAACGTGTCTCCCCATCCTTTGGAACGCGGCTTGCGGTTAAAAGTTGCTCGTTGATTGAGGTTCCACTTTATAATTACTTCAATTAAGAAAAAGCACTCTCGATGAAAATTCTCTGGCTTCGTTTGTTCTTTAAGCACATATTTGAATTCCATCATTACTTATGTAATTTTCTCCGATTCGGAAAATTTCATTTACTTTGTTTCAAGATTTTTAATCAGACGCTGACAATTAAAGCTGCAGTTGTTTGTTATTTTTTGGCACGAGTTCAATCATATTTGGCGTTAGGCTTGTATTTAATTGGGAAGAAAAATTTAATTTCCACGTTGCTTTTATTTCCAGTTGTTGTCCTGTTATTGCTTTTTATTTGCTATTCTTAATTGATTTGAAGTCAGTAAACGAGGGCTGTTAAGTGATTCGCTTTTGGCCGGCATTGTCAAATTTTGATCCCAATTTCGCCTTATGCAAGG